ACCCAGCAGTGGGTGTCTTCAGTGGAAAATGGGCCCCACTGATGGCCTCTGCTGCAGACTCAGGTAAAGCACCAGGCCCTGGAGTTCCAGTGCTCACCCAGCTGAGGATTTGGGCCATGGGCTGCTGCTGTCCCTGCGGCAGGTGGCCAGCAGACAGGGGGCGGATATCAGGCTCTGACTCATCCCCCACAATCAGGAGCAAATCTTCTGTTCTGAGGCCCGCCTGGGCGCAAGGAAGGGACCCTCAATCTGGGGCTCAATCGCCAGTGATCTCGCCCTGGCTCCGCCTTCTGCTCTCAGGGCTCCTGGTCCAGCCTTGGCTCCCTTTCTCATTGCCTGAGGGCCTCTGCACAGTCTCCCTGGCCCTGCGATCTCGTCGCTCTCCCGATGGCGGACGCTCTGCAGCTCCGGGGGTACAGAAGGGTCCCTTCTGCTCTCAGAAGAGCGATCTCGAGGTCCCCAGGCCACATACCGCTCTGAGCCTACCGGCAACAGAGAGAAGGGCTGGGATTGGGGCCACCTGGTGAGAAAGCACCTCCAAGAGTCGGGGACCCCCGAGTGCTGGGACTGGCAATTGCTAGCCCCGCCGCATCTTGGCAAGTGATTGCGGGCACCGGGCAGGACCCGGTACTCACTCTGGGTGCAGCAGATGCGGTTCATAGTGGGCACTGGGGAGCGTACAGGCCTGGCGCTCCAGCTGTTGTCTCTGGTGGAGCAGTGTTTTGATTTCCAGAAGGTTCCCCAAGTTCTGGGATGCGGCCGGAATGAGGCACACAGGATTCCAGTGACAAGTGGCACCGCGGCTGTAGCATGGTGCTTGGGACAACTGGGTGGGAGCACCCCCGCATAAAAAGACATCAGGGCGCAGTGGTGCTCCCATAGGCACCCACCCTCCCCTCCCCCGCAGTCTGAGAATTGGGGAAGCTCAGGCCTCAGCTCTTTCGAGCTTGGGAGGGGTCAGGAGCTACTTCTAGTGTTGTATTTGAGATCTGAAGGAAGAAAGGGTAATTTCTCTCAGATCACAAAAATTATAGCCAGCTGCTTCAGGATGGTGAAGAGACTCGCAGACCCCAAGGCATTCCCTTTCTACATGGTAAAAATGATAGTAATATACTGGTATGCTCTTTGAAGGACAAAGAAATAACTTAGTTTTATGACCAACTGTGATGTTTGTTTTATTCTTCTAGTTTGTTATTAATGTCATTTTTTGCAATTTAGCTATTAACGAAATGGTGAAAGCCACCCACAATATATACTTTGGCTTGGAAATGTTGAATTTCAGTTGACTCCTATGATTTTAAGTTTTACGAGTTCACATGGATCATCTTTTCTGAACTCTCATGCCATTTTCTCTGTCCATTTCTACTTGTCATCCCTACACACAGAGTAGAGGGTCACACATTCCCCTAGAGTTGGAAAGCATCTGACTACCAAAAAAGGAAGTGTCCCAGTGCCGCTGGATAATGATGAGGGCACCAAGGTGGAGGTGTGTTCAAGCTGGGCCAAGGAAACTCTTTTGAGGACTTTCTCCTCAAAGTCACGTGCAGAAGGTTACTCCCGTGGCTGTCACAATGTCGGGGTGGATGAAGGACAGAAGTAGAGGTTGGTCAACTAAGTATCACACCCAAGAGTTGACAGCAGAATCTGCCCAGAGCCTGGAGGTGGAGGGAGGAAGGTGAGGACCCTACTGAAGGCCCCCTCCCCGCCAATGAGGGAGCAGCAGAGGCTCCTGTGGTTCAGAGAGGGGCCCAAGGCTGGGGCTGGCATGTGGTAGGGCCTAAGGCAGGTGGAGCTTGTGGGCAGGCTGCTGTCAGCCACAGGTGCTGGGACTGAGATCCAGACCCTGTCCAGGCACCAACCAAATCCTTTCGGGGGTGGTTTACACTTAAGGGACAATGCCGCGGTTTACGATACTGAAGATGAAGAGAAGCTCCTATGATAGAATTTTCTCAGTCAGACGTTTCTTCCTGATGATAGGAAGTGACTGCATTCATTGCTAGATGCTGAAGATGATAAGAACATCAGCATAGACATTCTAATGACGCACATGCAGATCTGTTATCGTGTGCTTTCTCTTCCCAATGTCTCTAGTATTTCCCTCGCCCAACCTTGCAGTGTCACCCGTGGTGTCATTCTTATTTGTGGTTGCACCCTTTGAATAGCCAGGCTTCCAATTGGTGAGCTACAGGCAGCCGTCAGAATCAGCCCTAAATATGCCTCCTTCTGAACCTGATGGTGCCCTTTGCCCAAGGTCAGCTTAATGGCTGTCTCCCGCTCCTTGTGCGCCTCTCCTAGCAGGAACAATACACTAGGGGGCACTCGCACTCCTCCTTGAGCTCCTGTGGACCTTTTCCATTGCCTGAGACAAATAAATGCAAGTGTTTTTATTGCCAGAATTCCCAGCCCTCTAATACGCTTTAGATTTGCCCAGGGTGAAGCTCCTGGAACACACATCGGGGTCGCCAGGAAAGAACCTCACATGGGATCATGTGGAGCCCAGATTTAAACTTTTAAACCGTGTGTGCAGTTAAGATGGTGGACAGTGAATGGCTTGACTGGTTGAGCATGGTCCCAGCTTAGATGAGAGGCCAGAGAGCAGCGGTGTGTGCAGTCCGTCCAGAGTGACCTGATTCTTACATGTTGACCTGAACCTTGAGGTCTTTAGACTTACAAGACTTGGATGAATTTGATGGGCAATGAGACAGTTCACAGACTGGAGATCTGACCTCAACCAGCGCCTTCCTGGGCTGCAGCTTGCAGTGCTGTTTCCTGGCTGCCCTGCTGGTGGCAGCTCTGCCCTGTAACTTGCAGGACAGCTAGGGTCGGAGAGTCACTGGTCAGGTAACGAGTTGCATCCCTTCCATCCTCCTTGTTTTCTGTGTTACATTGTGATTAATTGCATATCTGTACTTTACTAGGCCAGTGTAATTATGCATTATGAAAATAATTCAAGCTGCATTTTGTCCTGGATATCTTTTACTTCTTTTTCTCATGCAACTTGAATACATTAAACACACACACAAATAAAAATCCACCATTACCTGTGTACTGGCAGAAGCGAACACCCCTTTATTCAAAAGACTCATTCTCCTGTCTCCCTCTCCTGTTTCCTCCCATACAACCATGAACAATAACACGGATGGACGAAATATGTGCTGGAGTGTTTCTTGAATGCCTATGACTCTGTACCATCCATGCATGCTTCCATTTCATGGAGCTCATGGCTGCCACTCCTCAGAGCCTCATGATCAGCCATGTTCTAGGGGAATCTTGAGCCTCACTGTGAGGGTCCTGTGCTGACCTAGAGGGAATAAAATGACAGGAACATTGGTTTTGTGAGGGTTGCCATGGCCTAGGAAACATCATCAGTTTTCTCTGGTGACCAGCATCCCAGAAAAACTTGTTGGGTTAGATTTCTGAAACATTAAACAGACAGGGTACCTACCCAACTTTGTCATTATCTGAGATCACAAGTTTAAAAAGTTCTTCCAGATACACATACATTAGTATTGGTTTCTGATGGCATCATTGGCTTGTATAATGACATGCTTTTCAGCAGAGAATGAAGAACAGGGTCTAGAAGTATCATCTGGACCAGAGCTGTTTCGGTCATGGGCTACCAGCCACCTTGTTCTTGAGTATGACTCAGTTTGTTGGTATGAAGCAAACTTTAAAAGTTTGAATTTCCTGTCAGCTACCCCGTCTTTAACACCATAAGAGTTTATCAAGTATCCTATTTCCATCACCAATGGCAAATATGAGTAAAATTTAACCGTTACTCCTACGGTTTCTTGCACCCCTTGCTATCATTGAAACTATGCCCACAGATCGATCGTCGGATAATTCAGGCAATCTGAAGAACTCCCAGGGCCACCTCAGCAGGCCACAGACCCATGGGTCCCGAGTGTCCCTGCACACATTCGTTTGATGCCTCAAGGATCCAAGGCCCTAATCGTCTTTACTTGCTATTTCTCAGGATTGTATTTGCAGCAGGCAACCTTGAGGGATGAGGTAGTGTCTTCCTCTGGTGCAAAGAGCAGGTTTGTTCCACCTCCTACACAGCAGTGGCTTCCTCACATTCCATGTTCCTCAGCTGCGGTGTAGACCCACTGTGTGGGCAGCATTTATCTGGGTCCCTTCACATTGCTGTGGAAATTAGGAGCAAGGGGACCGAATGCAAACAAATAAGATGCTTATACTTCCTGTCGAGCTGGGAGATATAAAGTCCTTTGTCTCTGACCCAGGACTCTTGTGTCTTCTGCCAGCACCCATGGAACAGTAATAGGCTAACTTACTAGCTTGTAAATAGGATTAAATCAAACCCCACACCCAACAAAGGCCACAGGGACCATCTGGTTGTGACAAACTATAGCTTTCTACTCAATTCAGCTGTGTCATTACATCTTGCTGCTGAGAAAAAGCAGAATATTCTATTATTTCAGTGACACGATGGCTACTTCTGGTATGCTGCATGTTTGATGAGTGAACCACTAAAGAGACATGCCTCCTACCTTAGGAGCTGTGCTGATCGGGCTCAATTAGGAGAACCTCGTTAATCAGTGGTTCAGGGATAGGCCTGCTCTGTAGTTCTACGTTTTTATCTCATGATCCGAGTGGCCGCGCTGAAGACTTTTATAATCTGTAAAATATTCCATCCCTATTTCCAACTTTATATTAGAAAATCTCCTTCAAAAAATCTGACCTCTTCCAGGTAAGATCACTTTTTTCCTGGCCCTTAAATCTGTTCTTTAGCTATTGCTTTGGAATTCATCTTCCCAAATACTTTTCTTGTCTGCGATTCAGCTTCGTAAGTTGAACATTCTTGGTTTTCTAAAATACTGAAACCATTCCCTTTAAGATTCACCACTGTAGACTGAATTGTGTCTCCCCAACTCATGGCTCTAAAGTCAGGTAACTCAGAATATGACTGTATTTGGAGATAAGATCTTTAAAGGGGTAATTAAGTCCCAATGGGACCATTAGGATGGGCCCTAATCCTATTTGACTGGTGTCCTTATAAGAAGAGGAGGTTAAGGCACAGAGACAACACACAGAGGACAACCACAGCAAGAAGGGGGGTCTCCTGGAAGCCATGGAGAAAGGCTTTGGAAGAAACCAACCTTGCCGACAACTTGATCTCAGACTTCTAACCTCCAGAATTGTGAGAAGATAATTTTCTTTTGTCCTAAGCCACCCAGTCTTTGGTATTTCGTCATGGAAGCCCTAGCAAATGAATATATTCACCATATGGTTTTTTTATAGTAAGAGTCTCAAGTAGATATTCCATTCCCATTGCTCATAAGGATAAAGCAAACTCCATAAACAAGTCATTATTTTGACTGGCTATTTTAATATTTCAGACTGAGACCAGACTAGACACAAAGTGTTTGTGAGTGAAAATCAGCCCTTCGGCTTTCTCTTTAGTCCTTTCCCATGGGAAAGTTGAGCCTTTATCATTTAAATGGTGACACTATGTGATTTTAGGCAAGTCACGGAGTCACCCATGCCTCAGTTTCCCCATATGTAAAATGGGGCTAAGAGGACCTACACCATAAGGCTGGAGAAGATTAAATGAGTGAATGTATATAAAGTATTTAGAACAGTGCCTGGCTCAGATGACATCACATGAATTTAGAGACAGTTGTGGATGATGCGAGTAC